CGGGTCACTCAAGTGTTTTCTGTCCTTACGGAGTTCACTAACAGTAGAGGAGGACCTGTGGAAACAAAAAAGGAATAGATTCTTTTCAGAGTACTCTTAAGGCACAAAGGAGAGAGAGGTCATTTCTACATAAGGAGATAATGAATGGGGTCAAGAAAGGCATTGTGGAAGTGACCTTATACTAAGTCTTGAAAACTAAGTCGGGGTGTCCGGGCTGCCCCAGGCAGAGGAGGACACGGAGACATGAAACAGCATGGGGACTGGAAGGAACTGCATGTAATTCATTGTAATGAGCAAAAGGTTCAAGGGGGACTTAGCAAGAAATGAGGCTGAATGGAAAGACAGGTTCAATGTAAGCACTTTATAGAATACTTATGTTTAATTTCTGATTCAATTATGCAAACATTTCTTAGTCATTTATTGTGTACGAGGCACCAAGGGCATCATGGAGAGTTCATCAGGATGCATCGCCAGCACTTTGCAGACATGACAGTCTTTAGCCTCCAGCTTTCCAGTGGCCAAAGGGAAATAGTGACTGCGTTTCATATGTTTGAGTTGACCCTTTTTTTGAATATAAGGGTAATGGGATTTTCACAGAAGCACTCCACGTTGTCAAGAGCCTCTGAGATTTTCTCAACACCGAGAAAACGAAATTTTGGAGATGGGTAGTCTGCAGAGGGAACCCCAAGCACTGTCTAGTCAGGTGCTGGTGGGAGTTGGGAGAGAGCACAGGAATGTGAGCCTCATTCCTCTCCCTAACTCCAGCCATACTATTTCACAGAATATTAATGAGTTAGGAATGAAAACATTCAGAGTAAATAACTTCCTTTCCCATCAATGCATGAAGATAGGAGTATCGGAGTCTTCTCACACTGTATCTTTAAGGTATTGGGGATTTTCAGGATACAGAGAACTTAGAGGTGGAGGAATTACAGCTTCAAATTTTCAGTTAATATAAGAAATCAGGAAGCTCTGTTCATTCAGGCTATGCACCATGTGCATAGTCAAGAATCAGCAGAAACCCTCTGCATTTGCAAACACTTTGTGCTATAAAAAGTAATTTTTAAAAAGCCACCTGTATATGTATATATATATTTAAAAACATGAAGGTTTTGATACTTTTTTACAAAAACTACAAGAGAAAACATACCTGTACGAACCACGTGTTTTAAAGTAGCATTTTGTACTCTACAGCTGTTGTTCATTTGGGGGTGAAGTACTGGTTTGCAGACTCCATCACATTGTACCCAAATGAATTTTCCTTGTTTGTCTTCCCCCCAACACCCTCAAATGACCATATTTGATGTAACAGGCATGTTAGGATGTTGGGTCACACTAACGGTTTCTGCTCTTTTTGTCTTGTCATTCCGAGTTTCATTAGCTTCTGTACTCAGTGCCCTTTGCAGTCTGGTTTTTGTTCCAGAAGCAGAGGGTGGCGTGCTGCATCTCACTAGCTATACTGACATCATCTTGGTGAACGAAAAACCAAACGTGAACATTTGTAAAATCAGTGCACTGTTTCTAGAGAGAGATTAAATTCATTTTTTAAAATCTGAAGTGTTGTTTCATTGCGATGCTTTAATGAGGGGTGGGAGGGTAAGCTATCATTGATTGAGCCCCTAATGTGTACCCAGTATTCAACATAAATTATTTTAGCCTTCAACAATCCTATGAAATAAATACTATCAATAATATTGTTCCTATTCCGTAGATGAGGAAATGGGTGAAGGAACTACCCAAAGTCTCATGGTTACATTTAGTATTCCCAAAGTACCTTCAGCGCATGCTACATGCAGCATTCTCTGCCTCTTCATCGGGCTCACTCCTGCTTGTCCTTGATACTTCGCTTAAGACTCTTCCTCCACAAATCCTCCATTCTCAGACTCACACCTAACTCCTAGGGTTAGGTAGTTTCTGCTTCCACAACAAATTTTGCCTATTTGCATACCAATACTTCTGTCCTGCCTCCGCTTCCAGGCCACTGAGGTTGCTTTTACCAAAGACCTCCTTGATTATAAATCTCATAAATATTTTCAGTCTTTATCTTCCTTGACCTGGAAGAAGTATTTAACATTGTTGGCACTCTTTCTTGAAATACTCTTATTTTGGTTCACATGACACCATATTCCTGGTTTTTTCCTACCTCTCTGGCTACATCTTAATCTCCTTTGCCGCCCCTTACATTATGGTGTCTTGTCTCAAATCCATCCACATTTATCATCTCCATTGCCACTACCTGAGTACAGGTTACCATTATCTTGGACGATCATCATCATAGATTAGCAACTACATATCTGAACTTCTTTTTTTTTTTAAGATTTTATTTATTTACTTGACAGAGACACAGCGAGAGAGGGAAAACAAGCAGGGGGAGTGGGAGAGGGAGAAGCAGGCTGCCCGCAGAGCTGGGAGCCCGATGTGGGGCTCGATCCCAGGACCCTGGGATCATGACCTGAGCGGAAGGTAGACGCTTAACGACTGAGCCACCCAGGTGCCCCCTGAACTTCATACTTTTAATCTTTCCATTTTCCAATCTATTCTACAATACTGCAGCCAGAGTGATTTTTTCTAGAATGCAATAGGTCATGTCACCACCATCCTTTCTACTTTCCTGCTTAAAGCTCTTCATCTGTTTCCCTTGCATTAAAATCCAATACCTTTGGGTTTTAGCCCACACTCTTTAATATGGCTTGTAAGCCATTTGGCTTCTGCCCGTTCTGCAACCTCATTACTATATACACAACCTCATTCTGTATTCCAACCACACGGTCTGGGCCCTCTATTTGGAATATTTCCTTCAGGAAGACTTCCCTTAGGCCCCTCGATTGGATTAGGAACCATCCTGTGTGCTTCCATAGTATTCTGTGTTTCCCCTATTTGTAACCTTTATCTCTACATTATAATTCTTGTATGCTCCTTAATTTCCTCCTCTGCAAGTTCTGTAAAGGTCTGTCTTGCTCACCATCGTATTCCCAGCACATAGCACAGTAAAAGCGCAGTAAATTATGCTGAATTCAGGCACATCAAATACACAGACCGTGTTCTTTCAGCTATACCATGTTATCTCATGCCTCCAAACCTGGATCACTTTACAGCCTGACTGGAGTCCAGTGTCCTTTAAATTTTCTCAAAACTTTTGTTATTTGCCACATCTGCAGATGCTCAGATTCAGCAGTCACCTTATAATTTTTATAATTTCACTCTTGGACAATAACTTCGTGGTAATTACCTGATGAATCTATATACTTAATTGCAATTACCACTTCAAGATTGTGAGGATTCAAAGAACAAACATTTGTAAATGGATTCACATTTATTAGGTGCTTAATACCTGGTGGTTCCCTTCTCTTTTTTTATACAATTCCCTTGTTACCACCCATATCCAGTGTTTCCTTTTTTTTAAGATTTATTCATTTATTAGAGAGAGAGAGTGAGGGGGAGGGGCAAAGAGAGAGGGAGAGGATTCCAAGCAGACTCCCCCTGAGCAGAGCCCAATTCAGGGCTTGATCCCAGGACCCCGAGATCATGACCTGAGCCAAAATCAAGAGTCCAATGTTCAACTGACTGAGCCACTCAGGTATCCCCCCAGTATTTTTTTTAATAAAATGCCTTACGGTTTTATAACAGTTTATAGTTCGCAAAGTATTTTTCCTATTTCCAAGATACTGTTTCCTATCTTTACAACAGTCCTGCCAGATGTATAACATTATTTTTCTCATTTTAAAGATAAACTTGAGGTCCAAAATGTTAATCAGTTCACCTTCAGTCACAGTGAATCAAGTCGCACAAGGATTATTTTAACACAAGCTTCCAGTGATTTTCCCCTCTCACACCCACTCTACACTCTGCTACCCATTATGTGGGGGGTGGGGGGGGCGGGAATAAAAGGAGTAATGGTAAGACTGGGAATGAGAATCGAGAGACCACTGACCTCAATACAGAACAGTACACAGTCAGCAGCCAGGCCCCAAGAATGATGCCATCTCAGCACTGTCTCTAGAACTGATTTCATTCCCCCCTCTGGTTGGAACTTTGATGAGCTAAAGCAGTCTTCTAATAATTAAGATTTTGATTGTCCTTTGCCTACTCAAGGTGGAAAATTTTTCCACAGCCAGAAAGACTTCACAGAGGTCAACCACTTTGGCCTGAAAAGACAAGGGCCTCTTGGGCATCAGTCCTCAATCGCAGCACATCTGGGGTGCTTTGCAAAAACATACCAACGCCTAGGTTCACCGCAAGAGAACCTGATTAATTGGTTTGGGGTGGGGCCCAAGCATCAGTATTTTTAAGATGCTCCCAAATGATTCCATTTGTGCAGCCAGGACTGAGAATCACTGCTGGGTAAGCAGTGCAGAGAAAACGAGAATGGGAAATTAAATATTCAGTTTAACTTCTACTCACAGCACCTACTCTAGAGACCAGTGAAGCAGAAAGGGAAAAGTAGAAATAAAAAGAAATAAAGATTAAAAGGGCTAAAATGGGAGATAAATTAGTTCCAGGGAAATGACAATCTCCACCGTGGATTCGGGAAAAGCGTCTCTGGGAACAGTTTCCTTGAACTGGTCCGTAAACAGCAAAGTTCAGTCGCAGCCAACTTCTGAAACATCGTGTGCTGAGCCCCGTGGGGTCAGGTCACTTAACCTTTTTTTTTTTTTTTTTTTCTGTGAGGTCAGCTCATTTAACCCCATTTTATTATCGAGACCTAGGTCCAGGGACGGTTATCAGCTTTGCCCGACGCACACAAGTCAGGTGTACTTAAATGGACGTCGAGCCTGAAAGGGCGCAGCATTCGGCGTGCTCAGCCGGAAGTCTCGAAGCAAGGTCTCCAGACCCGCCGCCCGAACCCAGGGGTCCTCCAGTCGCCTTCGGCCTCCAGCTTGCGAGAACCCCTGGTGTTGAGCTCAGCCTCGCTCCCGCCTCCGGCCGACGGGGCACGGCTCCACTGACCCCGCCCTCGGGTGAAAGGAGCCTTGTTTCCGCCGGGGAATGGGCCAGACTTGCCCCCACTTCCGGGAATGGGGGCGACCGGGGCCGCCTCGCCACGGCCGACGGCCTTGCCTTGACGTCACTTCCGCGCGCCCAGGTAAACGTCAGTGGTGGGCGCAAACAGCGGCGGTGGGCTTGCTGGTAAAGTTTGGGCTTGGTACCCTCCTCGTGAACCATGGAGAGTGACTTTTATCTGCGTTACTACGTGGGTCATAAGGGCAAATTCGGCCATGAGTTCCTGGAGTTTGAGTTCCGACCCGACGGTAAGAGCGGTCTCTGGCCCCCTGGGAGCGAGGACTGGGCCTGGGGTCGGGCGAGTGGGGAGGCCGGGTTCCGGAATGTGCGAGGAGCTAGAAGAGGAAGGTATTGATGACTGCGGCGCGGATCTGAAACGATCACTCCTGTGACCGCTCCACTGGTTCTTCCCATGCGCAGGGACTTCTGTTTGGTGACATTTTTTACTAGAATGCCTCACTCAGCAAACATTGACTGCCTACCTTGTGCCAGGCTCTCTTTCACAATCTGGGATACGGGAGTGAACGCCAGACAAGCTTCCTCTCATGGAACGTATATGCTGGTGCTGGGAGAGAGATAAACAACAACAACAAAGACTCCAGATAGTGACCGGTGGTCAGAACATAAAACAAAATGATGGATTAAGTGCTGGTGGGCTGCTTTTAAGCAGGGTGGCCACTGGCGCGCTCTCTGAAAAAGTAGTATTCGAACTGAACCCTGACTGACAAGAAGGAGTCAGCCTTGTGAGGCTCAGGAAGAAGAGCATTCTGGACAGAGGGAGTAACAAGGACTAAGGCTGTAGGGCATGAATGAGCTAGGAGGTATGTTTCGGGTAGCCAGTACGGCTGAGGAAGTAGTGAGCTCCGAGGAGAATAGTAGGAGACGATGTCAGATAAGTAGGCAGGGGCATACCATGTATGTCTTTATAGGCCATGGCAAAGAGTTTGGATTTTATTCTAAATGCAGCAGGAAGGGGCACCTGGGTGGCTCAGTCGTTAAGCGTCTGCCTTCGGCTCAGGTCATGATCCCGGGGGTCCTGGGATCGAGACCCGCATCAGGCTCCCTGCTGAGTGGGGAGCTTGCTTCTCCCTCTCCCACTCTCCCTGCTTATGCTCTCTCTCTCTCTGTCAAATAAATAAATAAAATCTTAAAATAAATAAATGCAGCAGGAAGCAATTGGAAAGTTTTAAGGAGAGAAAGATGTGATCTCTAATCATTGGGTGCAAAATGGGCAAGACTGGAGACAGGGCTGCTTATTAAGAGACAGTTACAGTTGTCAAGACAAAAAGGATGTTGATTGGGCCTAGGGTGCTAGTAAAAGCGGATAGAAGGATTTAGGATACTATTGGAGGCAGAACCAATAGGACTTTGCTGTTTGCTAAGATCTGGGAGAAGGGCCACTGTGGTGAAGGAAAAGGAATCAGAGATGACAGAAAACTCCCACTAAATGGGGACACAAAGATGAATCTGACAAACCCCAGTTATAAACAATGACAAGATACTGTGTTTGGTAGTGTGACAAGATAGCGTGTTTACATGTGTGCCTTCTATTCCAAGGGTAAAAACTCATGTGTTTCCTTCTATCTTTTCCTTCATACCCAGCATATACCCAGATTACCCTTTTGGATGCACATATACACAAAGGGCCTTATATACCAAATATTACTGCTTAATAATAAAACCACAACTTTTCCATCACAGGAATAGATCAGAATGTTGCATGGTCACATGAATAGTATCTAAACAGCATTTTACAGTTTCCAAATTGCTTTCACGACTCATTTGAGCCTCAGGAGGCCCTGTGTGCAAGTAAGTTACCATCACTCTCCCTGTTTTCACCTGAGGACATTAACCTGCAGAGATATGATTTGCCAGAGTCACAAAAGAGTCTGCTTGTGTTCTTTTATCACACCTGAGCTGCCTTTTGCAAGAATTATAATTCAATGTCAGCAGTATTTTTGGCTTTGAGGCTATTTAATAGCCTAAAGTGAAGAACTGACAAGACTGCCATTGTTGGAACACCAGAAGTACAGGTAGTAAATCTGGTAGTCACTGAAGGGAAAACTAGGATACATTTTAAGCAACAGCTGATAGTCTTGGTGAGCTAATGATACTTTACTCATATGTTTTTAATATACACTGAATTTGTTTTTTGTTCCTCACAGGGAAATTAAGATATGCCAACAACAGCAATTACAAAAATGATGTCATGATCAGAAAAGAGGTAATGAGCCTTCTGAGGGCCTTTCTTTCACTAAAATTTAGCCTTTTGTCTTGTTTTTGTTCTTTCTGGGAGTAGTATTGGAAAAGAGAAGTATAGACATATCTATGGACACCTTCTAAATTTTTTCTCCCATCTTTTAGTTTATATTTTTTCACAGTGCTGAATCACTTACTGGTAATCATTTAAAGTCTTGCAAATCTTGGTTTAAACCCTGAATCTGCTACTTACTATGTGCCCCTGGGCAAATTCCCTGTTCTTTGTCTGCAGAAACAAAGGTTTTAACCTACCCCCCACTCTCCAGTGCTATCATAGAATTAAATACCTTATACTTAAAGTGTTTGGTATATTCCCTGGTGCGTAGCTTTCAGTAGCGCTCTTTAATTTGCATTTGAATGGGGAACAGGGGCATGGGAAAGCAGTTCACATCATTGAATGCACGTTAGATGCCAGGCGTGGCACTTGGTATTTTATACACATAACGATTTTTATTTAAGCCTGATTATAAGCCTATTTGACGGGTGGTATTATATACCCTTTACAGTGAAGGCCGGATATTAATTATGGGGCTTGTTCAAAGTCACCTCACCCTGGCCACCCTGCCTGCCTCTGTCCAGTCCGTGCGCTCCATGTTATATAACTTCTGCTGCGCTCTTGAGGCTTCATCAAAGCTTCTCTTTCCTTTTAACCACTTTGTCACATTTGAAAATGTCTTGTCAGTATATTTTCATACTATTATCTTTAACTAGCATTCAGGTTTATGTTTACCCACACATGTCAGCCTCCTTATATTTAATGTGGACTAATACACAAAATGTATTTTTTTTTAAAGATTTTATTTATTTGCCAGAGAGAGATAGCGAGAGCAGGAACACAAGCAGGGGGAGTGGGAGAGGGAGAAGCAGGCTCCCCGCAGAGCAGGGAGCCCGATGTGGGACTCGATCCCGGGACCCCGGGATCATGACCTGAGCCGAAGGCAGACGCTTAACGACTGAGCCACCCAGGCGCCCACGCAAAATGTATTTTTAAAGACATGTCTCTACTCTTCATAAGCATGTCATCTAGTTAGGAATAACCAGGTTATTTACAGATCTTTTGTTCTGGGTTCAGGTGTGAGTTGGGTGTGTAAGCAAGGAGAAGGTCCAAGTGAACAGGATGTGCCAAGAAGTAGAAACAAGGAGATGGGGTCTGAGATGTAGTCATTGGGCACTTCTGGCTCAGCCTTCTTCACACCTGAATGCCATCCCCCTTACAGAGGTGCCAGAAACTAGTTTTTAGGAGCAGGCTTTTTTTGTTTTTGTTTTTATCTTTCATCACTATCTATCTGAGTGAGAACACTTGCTTAGGGATGCAACTTAAATCCCATTTTTTAATTTGCTTTCAGGCTTATGTACATAAAAGTGTAATGGAGGAACTGAAGAGAATAATTGATGACAGTGAAATTACCAAAGAGGATGATGCACTGTGGCCACCCCCTGACCGAGTGGGCCGGCAGGTGAGTGTTTTAGTAACTGTCCTGTAGTGCAGAAGTCTTACAAGTAAGATGAGTTTTACTGCCATGCATATGACATTGAATCCGTGTGTGTGTGTGTGTGTGTGCGCCCTACACAAAGCAGGTTATAGCACCTTTATCTAAGGCAGCAGTAATCCCACAGGGAGGAACAGAGAGAGCCAGTGGTACTTCCAACCACCTAGAGCCTAGCCCTGGATTTCCTCATGTGACTCTCCCCCCAGCCCTTCTCAGAGGTTTTGCTGCCCACCTCACATACTGAGTAACTACTATGGACAGAGCATTGTGAACATACAAAGAGAAATAGAACATGGTTATTTCAGCAATCTAATAGAAGGAAAATCATGCAAGCAGCTAGGTATATGTGTTTAAATTCATGGCTTTATATATATTCTGAAGACCATTATGGTAATGAAAATAAAGGCCATTGTCATTTTTTTTTTTTTAAGTTTCATTTATTTGACAGAGAGCACAAGCAAGGGGAGGGGCAGAGGGTGAGGGAGAAACAGGATCCCCACTGAGCAGGGAACCAGATGCAGGACTCGATCCCAGGACCCTGGGATCATGAGCTGAGCCGAAGGCAGATGCTTAATGACTGAGCCACCCAGGTGCCCCGCCACTGTCATATTTGAGTGTGTTAACAGGGAAGCTATTTCTCTCCACCTCAACTGCTACCTTCCTAATCTAGACCTATAATTGATTTCCTTTTTTCTTTTGTCCTGTACAGCCTGTTTTTCCATCCTGAAACCAGACTAATCTTTTAAAATGAAATGTATTCCACTGATTTTAAGTTCTCCACTGCCTTCCCACTACATTTAAAATAAAATCCAGGACGACTGGGTGGCTCAGTCGGCTAAGAGTCTGCCTTTGGCTCAGGTCATGATCCCAGGGTTCTGGGATTGAATCCTGCATTGGGCTCCTTGCTTGGCGGAGAGTCTACTTCTCCCTCTGCCTGCTGCTCCCCCTACTTGTGCTCTCTCTCTCTGACAAATAAATAAAATCTTAAAAATAAATAAATAGGGGCGCCTGGGTGGCTCAGTCGTTAAGCGTCTGCCTTCGGCTCAGGTCATGATCCCGGGGTCCTGGGTTCAAGCCCCACATCAGGCTCCCTGCTAGGCGGGAAGCCTGCTTCTCCCTCTCCCACTCCCCCTGCTTGTGTTCCTGCTCTCGCTATCTCTGTCAAATAAATAAAATCTTAAATCAATCAATCAATCAATCCGAACTCCCACCTTATCTTCTACCATTTTCACAATCTTTTACTGTGTTCAGACCTCACTGACCTTATTTCTGTTCCTCAGACACACCTAGGTTGTTCTTAGTTTAGGACATTTGCATTTGCTGCATCCTGCCTGGAATAGTCTATCCAATATTGTCTTTATTATTGCAGGTTTCAAACATCACTTCCTCAGTGATGTCTTGCCTATCCATCCAATCTAAAATGTCCTTTCCTGTTTTCTTTTCTTTTTTTAAATAGGATGTTTTATCTTCTTTGTAGCATTTATTATTGTCTAAAATTGTCTTGTTTGCTTTTCTTTATATATCCCTTTTCCTCCCCCCACTGCAACAGATTTGCATATACCCCTGCAAGCTCCTTCAGTACAAGGATTTTACCTATTTTTTCAGTGCTAAATCTCTAGTGACTAAAATAGTACCAGTGTGTAGTAAAAGCTCAATAATAATTATATTTATTAATATAAAAACCCATATAAGTTAATTCCTAATTCACCTCAAAATGGTGGACCAATTTTTTTTTTTTTGTAATCTAAATCCAACTTAGTTAACATATAGTGTTTTATTAGTTTCAGGAGTAGAATTTAGTAATTCATCTGATGCATATAACACCCAGTGCTCATTAAATCAAGTGCCCTCCTTAATGCCCATCACCTAGTTACTCCATCCCTCCACCCACCTCCCCTCCAGCAACCCTGTTTGTTCCTTTTTTTTTTTTTTTAAGATTTTATTTATTTATTTGACAGAGAGAGATCACAAATAGGCAAGCAGGCAGGCAGAGGGAGAGGGAGAAGCAGGCTCCCCGCTGAGCATGGAGCCCAATGTGGGGCTCGATCCCAGGATGCCGGGATCATGACCTGAGCCGAAGGCAGACGCTTAACCAACTGAGCCACCCAGGCACCCACTGTTTGTTCCTTATAGTTAAGAGTCTCTTAATGGTTTATCTTCCTGTTTTTATCTTCTTTTATTTTTCCTTCCCTTCCCCTATGTTCATCTGTTTTGTTTCTTGAATTTCACATATGAGTGAAATCATACGGTATTTGTCTTTCTCTGACTTATTTTGCTTAGCATAATACTTTCTAGCTCCATCTACATCATTGCAAATGGCAAGATTTCATTCTTTTTGATGGCTAATATTCTATTGTATATATATACATATATACACCACATTTTCTTTATCCATTCATCTGTAGATCGACATCTGGGCTCTTTCCATAGTTTGGCTATTGTGGACATTGCTGCTGTAAACATTGGGGTGCATGTGCCCCTTTGAATCACTATTTTTGTATCCTTTGGATAAATACCTAGTCTAACTCTTGAGAAAGAGTGAAAAGAAAATCCCATCCTGAGTACTTTCTAAAGTTAACTTTTTAATTTATGTCCACGGATTCTCAGTAAAATCATGTATATGTATTTTGCTTTACCATTAATTTTCAGCTCTATTAACTCATTCAGCAATCACAGTAGTCCTGTGAAGAGAACAGGGCATACTCCTATACACTAGCAACAACCTGTTGGATAAGGTAATTACAACAAAATTCCATTCATCATAGCAACAAAAGCTATAAAGAACTTGGGAGTAAATTTAATAAGCTGTATAAAACTTAAAAGGGCTTCGGGGCGCCTGGGTGGCTCAGTCGTTAGGCGTCTGCCTTCCGCTCAGGTCATGATCCCAGGGTTCTGGGATCGAGCCCCACATTGGGCTCCCTGCTCGGCAGGAAGCCTGCTTCTCCCTCTCCCACTCCCCCTGCTTGTGTTCCCTCTCTCGCTGTGTCTCTCTCTGTCAAATAAATAAATAAAATCTTTAAAAAAAAAAAGTATCATTTTTATGGATGGAACAACTCAATTATTATATCAATTTTATTAAAATAATTGATAAATTCATTCCAGTTCAAATCAAAATCACAACAGGATTTTTCCTAAAGCCTAAGAGAGCATTAAATTCATGGAAGATCAAAGGGACAAGAGTAACCAAGATAATTTTGAAGATTTCTTGAAAAGGTACAGTCATCTGTACTGTGATATTGCCTCAGAATTGACCAGTAAACAATGGAGCAGAACAGAGAGCCCAGAAACAAACCCATGAATATATGGGAACTCGGAGCAGGGTATGACAGAGGCGAACTTTCAAATTAATAGAAAAAGGATGGATTGTTTAACAAATTGTATCAGTTGGCAGTGTGTTTATAGAATATTTTTCAGTTAGACCATTTGTAGAAATAAAACAAGATTTTAAAACAAAATATAGACTATCTTTTATTATTTTGGGTAGAGAAGGAATATTTTAAATTCCTCAAGGGAAAAGATTGATAAATGTGACTTCTTTAAAGTTAAAACTTCTGTTTAGCTAAAGACATCATGATAAAGTTGAAAGATAAGCCACAGACTGAAGGAAGATCTTTGCAAAACATACCTGGCAAAGGGTTTATATCTAGAATATATCAGGAACTGCAAATTAATAATAAAAAGATAACTGGGGGGAAAAAAAGATAACCCGGTGGCAGAATGTGTAAAGGTTCTGAACAGGCAATTTATGAACCGGAAAAACAAGTGGCCAATAAATATATGAAAATATCTACATTTGGAAAGTGAAAATTAGGAAAATAATGAGATACCATTTCAGACCCATTAGAATAGCAAAAAGTGAGGGTGGGGGCATCAAGTTTTAAAAAGGATATGAGAGGGGCGCCTGGGTGGCTCAGTCATTAAGCGTCTGCCTTCGGCTCAGGTCCTGATCCCAGGGTCCTGGGATCAAGCCCCGCATCGGGCTCCCTGCTCGGCGAGAAGCCTGCTTCTCCCTCACCCATTCCCCCTGCTTGTGTTCCTGCTCTCGCTATCTCTGTCTCTGTCAAATAAATAAATAAAATCTTTAAAAAAGTGAAAAGGATATGGGAAAGAAAAAGGGGATCTTATATACTAGTGGGAATAACATCAGTACAACCATTTTAGGAAATAATTTGGTAATAACTGGCAAAATTGAAAAAAACTTACACTTTCTAGGAATATTCGTAGAGACATTTTCACATGCATACAAGGAGATGCATAGAAGAATATTCTCACCACATTGTTTATAGTACAATAAATTGGGAACTTAAGTCTGCTTCAATAAGGATATGAATGGAATATTCTAAAGCATTTAAAACTAATGAACTAGATCACATACAAAAACAGTGTTGAATGAAAAAAGCAGAAGGATGCATATAGTATGATCATTTATGTAAAAATTTAAAAACATACTACCAAATCTAAAAACATGAGTGGAAGGAATACACCTCAACTTCTGGGATGCAGGAGGGAGAATGGAATGGGAGGTGGACCTAAACTTTGTATGTGTAACGTTTTATTTCTTTAAAAAATCTGACACAAGTATGACAGCCTATTAACATTTTCACATCTGGGTGTTAAGAACATTGGTTTCATAGTTTTCTATATTTTCTGTTAGAATTCTTTTCATAATTGAAAACTATAAATCAAAAAGAAATAGGAAAAAATTAAGAAAAAAGAAGTAGGACTCACTAGATTGGCAGTTCCACACGGGCACAGGCCTTTGGTGTTGCTGATCTGTCCCACGCACCGAGAACAATAGCCGGCACACGGTGAGCACTCCCACAGAAATTTTTTAAAGATTTGTGCTACTTGTGTCACTGTAGAAATTGAGACCCAAGAGCATTCAGCTGATAGTGACAAAGCTGGGATCAAACACAAGGTCTAGACTTCTTCTCGTCCCATGTTGCCCAGAAAGGTTAGATTCTTGGTATTTTAAAACATAAGATTTATACATGTTACTCCACTTTCTTAACAATGAAAACTCCTATATAAAACTTGTAAATTCTTCCAAATCCCAGAAATAGTAGAGCCTCACAAACACATCTTCCTCTAAGAGTATGAGCTACTCAAGGACTAAACCAGTATCTAATTTCTCTCTTTGTTTCTAGACTCAGTACATGTTAGTGCTCAGAGTGAACCGGTCTTGTTTATGTTGTAGAGTTTGTGTGATTTGACAGATGATAGATCCTCTGTGTGGTTGATGGAAAATCCAACTTGGCCTGACTTAGTTTTTTTAAATGTTTCTAGGAGCTTGAAATTGTCATTGGAGATGAACACATTTCTTTCACAACATCAAAAATTGGTTCTCTTATTGATGTCAATCAATCCAAGTAAGTGTATATGACCCTTATAGCCAGACGTGTCAGTTTTGAAGCTGACTGATATGAAACCCTTAACCAGATTGGGACCGTTACAGCAAGACAGAGGGGTCAGGGCACCTGGGTGGCTGTTGGCTAAGCATCCGACTCTTGGTTTCAGCTCAGGTTGTGATCTCAGGGTCATGAGATCAAGCCGCACGTCAGGCTCCACATTCAGTGCAGAGTCTGCTTAAGACTCTCTCTCCCTCTGCCCCCCACCCCCCGCCCTGGTCTCTCTCACTCACTCAGTCTCTCTAAAATGAATAAATCTTAAAAAAAAAAAGGGGGGGGGGTGGCCAGCTTTGTTCTCATCATGAGAGACTTCAAATTATTCTCAAGGGCATTCTGTTGCTTTTGATGTTTTATTCAGTCAGTGTTACACAGAGCTTCTCAAGTGACACACACACACAGAGTAATGTCATAGGAGCAGCCAGAGTAAGAATCTGGCCAGAACAGAAAATGAAATATGCCAAAACAGGTGCTTGAGGTAAACTGTAGAGTCACTGGGTCAAGCTGAACACCTTTTCAGTGTTGGCCATTCAGACTAGCACATCTTATAGTCTGACAGTGGTGAAACTTGAAATTATCTAGAATACAAACTTAAACTTAAAAATTCATGTTGTCAGTAGGGCAGATTATAAAGCTGAGACATGAGTCTGTATGCTACAAAGAGTCCTTAGAATTTGATGGCCTCTGGGCGTGCCTAGATGACTCAATCGGTTAAGGGTCTGACTCTTGATCTCAGCTCAGCTCTTGAGTTCAAGCCCCATGTTGGGCTCCATGCTGGGTATGGAGCCTACCTAAAAAAAAAAAAAAAAAAAAATTGGCAACATCCAGCTCCTGTGTTTTGAGGATTTGGAATTAGATACGGCTTCCTTTTATTTTTATTTTTTAAAGATTTTATATATTTATGTGAGAGAGAGAGAGCATGAGCCAGGGAGAAGGAAAAGCAGGGAGCCTGACACAGGGCTCAATCCCAGGACCCTGACATCACGAGCTGAGCCAAGGCAGACGCTTAACTGACTGAGCCACCCAGGTGCCCCAGTGGCTCACCTGTAGTCCATGCTGGGTGTAATTGTCTTCCTTTGGACAGTCTCCTTTTTCTTAGCCAGTTGTGCCGTAGTAATCTTTAGCCTCTTGGTGTCCTGCTTAGTACTTCTTTTTAAAAAAAGTTTTCCTAGGGACACCTGGGTGGCTCAGTCAGTTAAGTAGCTGCCTTCGGCTCAGGTCATGATACCAGGGTCCTGGGATCGAGTTCCGCGTTGGGCTCTCTGTTCAGCGGGGAGCCTGCTTCTCCCTCTGCTTGTGCTCTTTCTCTCTCCGTCAAATAAATAAATAAAATCTTTTTAAAAAATAAATAAAAAATAAAACAAGTTTTCCTAATTCTGAAAGTAATACATGCTCAGTATAGAAAATGCAGAAAAATAAAAGGGGGAAAATCACCTACAAACTTATCAATTAGACAACCATTAATATCTTGAAGTATTTCTGATCTAGTTCGCATGCATTAAAAACTATTTAACTTTTAAAAAGCACAAAAAATATAATTGAGATCAGCAATCTGTTATTTTAATAATGATTTTTTCATTTAATAGTAACTATTTCCCCATTAAAAACTAACATTTAAAATGATCTCATTTAATATATAGCATATAGCCTTTTCCTTCTTTATGGACACTTGGTTGTTTTTAAAGTTTTAATTCTGTAAATGCCTTTATGTAAATAATCTGGGTTATTAAATGTTTTGTTTTTGTTTTTTTGCCAGTTTTTTCCAGCTTTTTAAATATGTTTTTCTTCTTGCATTATAGGGATCCAGAAGGCTTACGAGTATTTTATTATCTTGTCCAGGACCTGAAGTGTTTGGTCTTCAGTCTTATTGGATTACACTTCAAGATTAAGCCAATCTAGATTGAAAATTGATGTGGACACAAGGGGGGTTGGGAGTACCTGTTTTTAATTACCATTATCAGGACATTTTTGTGTATATCAGGACAATATTTTTTTTATAAACTATAAATGACTGTCTTTAATAAATACATAACAAAATTGCAGTTTTTTGTAAAGACCTGAACATGTGAACTCACCTCAGTTATTTTTTAAAACAGCCTATGTGAAGTATTGCCAAAAATCTATTAATCAACTATAGATATAACTACCAATTTACAGGAATAAGAGAATAGAAAAGTTAGAAAATACAATAGATTAAAAAAAAGAAGAAGAAAATACGATAGAAATCCAACCAATATCCAAAGGAAACTCCAGGGCAGAGGATCTGGCTTCTTCAATAAACACATTGCAAACATAAAATAGAGATGGTGTGGGAACTGGTAGATTAAAGGAGATTTAAGAAACACATAATCAGTACAGTTTGGACCCTATTTGGATCATGATTCAAAAAACAAAATTGACATCATTAAGGAAATTTGAACACTGGGTATTTTATATTAATAAAGTATTTTCTAAAATTTTAGGTGTGAAATGGGTTTTTCCCCCTCTGGCTTTATTGAGATATAATTGAGAGGGTTTTTTAAATCCTCTTTTATAGATACATCTATAGGTATTTCAGTATGGAGGAAAACATTTTGGTTTAGTACAATATAAGGGATAATGCCTGGTCGCAGAGTTTTCTAATCATTTTAAAATCAATACCAACAGTCGTTAGGTATGGACAGTGTGGGAATTTGTTCAGTACGTAGATCTGTAAGGACTTTTTCCTTCCTGCTAAATTGCACTGCTTCCTTAGGCAAATTGCTGGTTGACCAGATTGTGGGTGCTGAAAGGAACTGGGCTTGATAAATCTCATTTGTGGAGAGGTGATTAGGATAAGCTCATCCCACAAGACAGGCCAGCTTGGGACATGTCCCAAGTCTTTGGCCAGTGTTCCCTGCACCCCCGCCCCCCCAATACACACAATCTGCCTCCTTCAAAGATAGCAGCAACTTAGGTCCAGATCTGGGATCAGAGATGTCAGGGTTCCTAACTCCAGTGCATCCCTCTCTATAGAAGGGTACCTGGGGCAATGAAGTTGATTAGGTAAAGTAGACAAGAATAGTAACTCCGTATTTGAAATGACCGTGAGAACCTCAAAGGCTGTTTAAGTGTCGCACACCCACACCCACAGCTTCCATGTGGTCTCATGTGCCCTGGACAAAAGGACAGATGAAACAAGGTTCAGGTAATATACAAGGATAAACCAGGAGCCCAGAGAAGAGCCCCCCTGAAAGGACGTGTCCAGTGTTGGGGACTGCAGCGAGAGACGTGTACACGGGGCAACCCTCTGAAAGGTCTCCTGGGGGAAAGAGGAAGGGGCAGTTCAGAGAAGAAGGGCCCCAATCCCTCAGATCTGCGAAGCTGGCCGAGGGCAGGCGGAACCGACGCGATCTAAGAAGCCTCAGAAGGCAAGCACGGACCGAGCGGTTGTCGGGCGAGAGAAGACCGAGTAGTGAAGAGCGGCAGGAAGAAGCCCTGGCAGAGGTTTCGCGCAGGGACTGTCGTGTTTGCTACGGTATCCCTCGAACTAGCATAGTGCCGGCACGAGATCGGCGTTCAGCAAATATCTGGAAATAGGTTTCGGCGGGTCCGAGCTCCGGCTAATTGCGGATTCACGACACCTCCCCCGGTCCACTTAATCTTACAGAAAAGGCAGCCCAGCGCGCGCAGTTAGCAGCAGCGCGTGAAAGCCCCGCCTTCCGCCCCGCCCGACGCACGCCGGAGGTCTGCACCCGGTGCGCCGGCGGCGCCCACCGTTTACGACAGGCCGGAAAGTAGCGGCCGCAGCTGTCGCCGGGCCGGGTCGTGCCGAACCAAGCCACTATGGGGGTGAGGCGGAGGCAAACTGCCGCCGGGGCAGGGACGGGGAGGTGGCGAGGACCTGAGAGGCGGCAGTTCGTGCCAGGAGGGAATGAGAGAAGTGTGATTAGTCTAATTAATGTGTGACTAGTTAACTTTGTCGCGCTGAGAAGGAGCGGGGGAGGCAGAGCGCGAATCCAGGAGGGGCGGGGCCGGGGCTGGGTAGGGCTGCGCAGGCGCGGTTGATGCACTTGCTGAGGCCCTCCCTCTCTACAGAAAATTGCGCTGCAGCTCAAAGCCACGCTGGAGAATGTCACCAACCTCCGCCCCTTGGGTGAGGACTTCCGGTGGTACCTCAAGGTGCGGCTGGAGGGGCGGGACCCTAGGCGGGAGAAGGGAGGAGCATCGGAGGGGCTGTAGGTGCCGCGACGTTCCGGGTGGGGGAGCGACTCCGGAAGCGGGGTGCGCGGCAGGGGCGGGGCGTCGGTCCCGTGCTAAAGTCAGTTTCCAAGGGGAGCTTTGTCTCCAGCAAGATTGGAAATGTATAGCCATTAAATGTTATTTTCCTGAATAGAATTTGTTCGCTTTTCTAAATGTATTGGTTAATTCTTAACTGGTAATGTCTCGCAATTCCTTTTTTAATTTTTCCTCCGTGAACTATTTCATGTTTTGTAAACACTAAACGAAAGACGACTTGAAGGGGTCTTGGGATTGTTTAGTAAGGAGGGGAATTTCACCTTCTGTTTTATTTGTTGATTAAGCTTTATTTATCGTGAAATCGTTTTAATTTTGATCGTGGCTTCCTCCATCCCTCCCCGCCCCATACTGCTGAATCTGGTACTCTGGTGGCTTGGTCTACAGAGTCCCCCCTCTTACCTGAGCAGTGTGAGGCCCTTCACTCTCCCAGATCTCAGAGCTTCTGCTCTATTTCCTTCCTCGTCAAAACCCCAGCATCCTTCAGAACCTGGCAAAAGCTCTATCCCTTTTAGGAAGCTTTTTCTAGCCACCTTTACTACCAAATATTTTGAAGCTCGAATACGAGGGCTTATTTGAGGAATTGATGTTCTTCACTTCAAAAAGCACAGAGTCTAGCAGAGGAGACAGAGAAATGGAGTAACAACAGCGATAAGTACTTTTACTAGGAACCTGCAAGGCCTGTGAGAACACAAGGGAAGCTCCAGTACCAACAAGGGTGCCATTTCTGCACTCAAGGAGCCTTGAATTTCTAGCCAGACTGGGTACTTCTTAGAGGGCGGGCGGGCACGCCAGCAGGAGAAACACTTGACCTGTTCTTTGCCCAGAGAGAAATTTCGGTTATGTCCTTGGTGGGGCTGGTTGTAAAGATGAGGTGAAATTGTGGACAGGAAGGTAGGTTGAGCCTGCCTACGTCACACTTTTCTTGCCCTTCCCATCTGCCCAGCTGAGCCAACTACTTTACTAATCCTCTTTTTCCTCCCCCAAGATGAAATGTGGCAACTGTGGTGAGATTTCAGAGAAGTGGCAGTATATTCGGCTGATGGTAACTACTCCCCCTACCACCATACCCACACACAAACACACATAGGCCTCTGGGCAGGGATTTGGGGAGGGAACCTGTGGCCCTAATCTCTCAGGTCTTTGGACCCTGCTTTTTGTGGTTTGGAAGGGCAGCCACTAGTGTGGTCAACTTACATTGGAATGTAAGGCAGTTCAAAATCAAGGGGAGTCCCTTTCTTAGTCTCAAGAAGCTCCCCAGGATTCTTGTCCTAGCAGATGGCGCTCCCTGTTTGTCTTGGTCTCTTCACCTGTCTAATAAGTGGTAGACGGGATCATGTCTTCACCTGTCTAATAAGTGGTAGACGGGATCATGTCTAATTAATGTGTGACTAGAGATTCTGTTTACCCTTGCCAGGACAGTGTGGCACTGAAGGGAGGTCGTGGCAGTGCCTCCATGGTCCAGAAGTGCAAGCTGTGTGCGAGGGAAAACTCCATCGGTAGGTCAGGCCACGAATCCTGAGTTCTGCCAACTGGGGCTACATCTTCCTGGTACCAGAGCAAAAGCAGGCTCATGTTGCTGTGGGTGGACCCAGGCCTGAGGTGCCCAGGCTGTGGCAGCCGACTCTTTTTCCCAGAGCCACGTTTGGGCACAGGGATAGGGGCAGAGTGTGGACTCAAGTCAACTTTGTCTTCTCTTTTACATTTCAGAGATTTTGAGCAGCACCATCAAATCTTACAATGTAAGTTTCCTGCTGTGGTGGCAGATTTGGTGGGATTAAATCTAAGCTGGGAGCTAGGAGGCCTGGGTTCTAGAGTTTGTCTGCACCAGTGTGACTTGCTTTGGGACATTCATATACTCACTTGTTCACTCATTCACTCACTCAGTCACTTATTCACCATACACTGGCTGAGTGCCTGGTAGGCAGAAGATTCATAAACAGGCTGTTACAGTGTCTTCTCTAATAAGCACTGGGTTGTGGGAGCTCAGGGAACCTCTGGCCCAACCTGTCCACTCAGTTTCCATCACTGGGAGCCCTTGCCTTGTCTACACTGGGGGACTCCTGAGCTTTCTCTGGCACCCTTGATGTTGACATTAGCTAGTTATACATTACCGTGTAACAAATTAGTCCAAACGGTGGGGGAGGGAGTGTGTGCTTTGAGTCTCTTTGTTTAAAGGGTAGTTACTTGTATTCACCCATTCCTTACTTAGTATTTTTTTTTTAAAGATTTTATTTATTTATTTGAGAGCGAGCACAAGCAGGGGGTGTGGTAAAGGGAGGGGGAGAGGGAGAAGCAGACTCCCCGCTGAGCACGCACCCTAACGCAGGGCTCAGTCCCAGGACCCCAAGATCATGACCTGAGCTGAAGTCAGACACTTGACTGAGCCACCTAGGCACCCCCCCTTACTTAGTATTTTTGAAACATGTCTGATTTATGCCAAATTCTCACCTTTGTTCTGAAGTTAAAGGGAGAAGTCGCGAGGACTTGTTTTCAAGTAAATGATACATCGTAAATAAGACACACCAGCAAACAAAAAGCAGCCCAGGGCCAACAGAGTGCCTCATCCCTGCCAGGCACGTGACTGGTGTGAGGGACAGAATGATAGTGTGTGGGTGCGGTGCTTGGCATCTCTGAGCCCATGGGTCAGGTCGGCATGAATTTCCTCGTTACGCCAGTCCCCTCAGAGGTGCCTCTTCCACATGAAAACCCCATCTCAAAGGCTTTTAAGTCCACCTCCTGCCTCACAGCATGGCAGAGGTTTAGCAAAAGGCCACAGTTAAGCATCCTGGGCCGTTGGGAAAATCTGGAGACTATAGCCTAACATTCTTGTTCATATTTTTTATTTCGATAATTTAATCTGCTGTTTATTGAGCATAGTGTCAGGTAGTACAGCTGGGCACCTGACACGTAGTTCAGATCTTCACAGCAAGCCTGTAGTGGTGTCCTCAGCCCCATCTGACAGTCTTAGGCCCAGCTGGGAGGAGAGGTAGAGCCGTCTGAGCTCATATCCAGGCAGGCTGACTCCAGAACTCAGTCTGTCTTCTGCAGCAGCTGTGTCCAAGAAGGTCTCACGAGGAGCAGGTGCCCAATGCAGGCTTCTTCCAGAAGAGGAGGAATTGCTCCTGAGTCCCATTCTGGGCTCCCAGGGGTAGTAGGGCCCACTTGGCAGGAAGGGCAGGGGCAGTGAGATCTTCCCAAGGGCCCAGTTGGGCCTGCCCCCTGAACACACTTCTTTTCTAGGCTGAAGACAATGAGAAGTTCAAGACAATCGTAGAATTTGAATGCCGAGGCCTTGAACCAATTGATTTCCAGCCCCAGGTGCGTAACCTGTATCTCTGGGGGGTGCATATAGGAAGTCACAACAGAACTTTGCTTCATCCAGAGACCAGGGACTAGGACTTCTCCTCTCTTACTAAGTGCCTGCTATATGTTGGGCATTATGCTGCTCACGTTTACATATTACTTCATTTAATCCTCACAGTAACCCTGTGAAGTTATTCGTCCTGTTTTTCGGACAAGGAAAGAACTTGAGATTTTGCAGCTTGCCCAGGGTGACAGTAAGCACTGAACGGTCATTTGAACCCAGGTCTGATTTCAGAGCCAGCACTCATCCCACTTTATTTATGCAGCTTTTCTACCTCACGACAAATCTATGAGGCAGGGAGACAAAACAGCATTCTCATCCCCCTATCCTAAACAAGAAAACCAAGGTCCAGAGAGAGGAATGACATGCCCGGGGCTTTCAGGAGTTCAGGGGTAGTGGAAAGGTTTACCCCACCCCCCTGCCTCTGGCCCAGGCCTTTAGAGGAACGACTGTAGGCCTGGGAAAGCTTCCAGGCCCAGGAAGTGCATTATTTCAGAAGAGGTGCTCACACTGCATCTCTGTCCTCCCATCCCAAAGGTGGTATGAAAAGAGCCAGTTCCCTGGCCAGGCCTCACCGGCCAGACCAGTACCTCCTTTCCCCCAGACTAACTGCTGCCTTCCTGTCACCTCCAGGCTGGGTTTGCTGCTGAGGGTGTGGAATCGGGAACAGTCTTCAGTGATATTAATCTGCAGGAGAAGGTACAGGACTTGGGGGCCTTGCGGGGTGCTGTAGGGTACCTGGTGGGAATTACCCTTTCGGTGAACAAAGATCAATAGAAAGATGATTCCACGTTTTTTTAATTTTTGTTGGTGATTTTGGTGTTTAAATGGCCCCAAGTGTAGTGTTGAAGTGCTCCCTAGTGTTCCACAAGCAGGAAGGCTGCGATATACCTAATGGAGAAAATGCATGTTAGATAAGCTTTGTGTAGGCATGAGTTCTAGTGCTGTTGGCTGGGAGTTCAATATTAATGAATCAACTATATATAAGGTATTTTTAAACGGAAACCTACCCAAAACAAGGTTGTATATTGATTAAAGAAAATGTGATCCAAGGTTTCCAAGAACCTAACCCTGTATTTCCCCTGGGAGCAGTGATTCGCTATTTACTAATTCAGTGTTTGTAGTGATTCTGTAGAATATAACTACCATGAATAATGAAAATCAGTTGTATTACTGAACATGTTACTACCTTACATAAGCCTTGTGGTCAGGCTCAAAAGGACAGAAACCTCCTTCAGTTTGCATAGCACCTAATAACAACAATAACTGGAATTTACTGAGCTCTTACATGTGCCTGACACTATGCTAAGTACTTTTACATGTTTCCTCATTTGCTTCTTTCAACATTCAACACGAAGTCTGTTACTATTCCTTTTTTTAATAGAGGACAGAACTGAGGCTCTGAGAAGTTAAGTGACTTGCCCAGAACGCACTCTAGCTCTGCTTCCAGGTCCTACACATTCATGAATATCTCAGTAAGAGCCTGAACTGGCCCTTTAAAGTCCCAGAGTGCCATTGTCCCCACCGTCTTAAGCCATCTCATGAGGTTGACGGGGCCATTTTTTCCCTACAGGACTGGACTGACTATGACGAAAAGTCTCAGGAATCTGTGGGAATCTACGAGGTCACCCACCAGTTTGTGAAGTGCTGAACCTTCTTCGTGCACACTTGCCTCTAAGAACTGAGAAGGGACAAAGGGACAACGTGCCCCGAGCAGCAGAGCCCCAAGGCGCGTCCCCTCATCCCTTGTCTCCTGGAAGCTATCCAAGCCCTCACGGCCTGCATGCTGGGCTCTGTCACAGCTTCCCAAGCCCCACCAATAAAGCCCCCGTTTGTGCTGCCCTGGTACATGGAGGCAGAGTCCGGCAACAGCAGCTCCCTCCACAGAGAAGAAGTCGTGTTGGAAGTCTCTCATTGCTTCCTGGCACACTGCCACAGTATAGGATCCAATTTGTAAAATATGCAGGAGCACATAGCTTATAAGGGCTCTCCAGCTCTTGGGGAGCAGGTAGGTCAACTCAAGGGACCTCAGGTGTCAAGGCCAATGGTACAAAGGGCAGCTGGGCCTGTGGAATGACGCCATGAGCCCCATGGTCCTGAGCCAAAACACTACATTTACCACCTTGGCTCTTAAGTAAACCCAGGCATTTCTCGCTGGTGTCACTTCATATTCCAGGGCTAGCAGGGACTTTTTAGAGGCAGCAGTCCAGTCCTGGCATGAATCTGCTCTGTGAAATTCCCGCTGGACGGTCATCAAGTCTTTGTCCATTTGCTGTGATGAGGCAATCCTCTCCCATCGGGAGTCAATATGAAAATTCTTCCTTCTGCTAAGTCAGCCTCTGTGCTCCCTGGAGCTCCTGCTGGTCCTGGTTTGTCACCTTTGTGGTCATGCTTCCATGTTCTGCCCCTGGACAGCCCTGTGGAGGTCTGAAGACAGGAGTCACGGCCCTGTAAGTCTCATGGGCCCGGTTCCCTGGTTCTGAAGATCCCCTGCAGAGTAGAGAGAGTTATTCGGTGCACAGTTAGATCATGAGGGCACACTCAGCGTTCACCCTGGTGAGTCCACCATTTGGAAAACCTGTTGTGAGAGACCTTACTTCTCCAGTGTTCTGCTGGAGCCAGAATTCTTTGGAAGTAAAAATGATTACCTTCATTTTCTGAGAGGCCCACTGGGGAAAAGTCTGCCCACTTCCAGACTGGTTGTGGGGGGCACTAGGAAGGGGCACTCCTACCTCAGATTTCAGGTAAAGCTGGCTGTGTCCAAGGGTGATAAAGCGATCCCTACCTTGTCCGTTCTCCAGTCTGGCATCTACATCATGTTTCCTCTAGGTTCCCTGTGTTCCTGGCGCCTGGACCTGCTCTTTTCTGCATCTGACAGAGCAGAGCTTCTTTGGCCTGCCCTCAGCCAGCAGGTCTATCCAGTCTGTCACCCCCAGGGTCCAGTCCACTGCCCAGCCTGAAAGCAAATATGTGGAAGCAGCCTGAGTAAGCAGCCTTTCTGGGTTTTAGTCTGTTATGTAATAGCCAGTGTGTGTGAAGCTCACAAAGACAGACAATAAAAGGATCTCAAGGTTTTCTTTATATTTCAGATTATTTTCTCATTTTTCAGGAGGTAGAAGAACCCAAATAATCATTAACAGATTAAAGGAAAATTAGATAATGTCAACAGATGCAGAAAAAGTGTTCAGTAAAATTTAATACCCATTCAACAACCAAAACAACAAACTATAGAAACTCTTAGCAGACTGGGAATAGAAAGGAACTACCCTCACCTCATGAAGTAGATCTACACAAAACGTAGAGCAAATGAAATGTGTGAAGTATTCCATTCAAGGTCAGGGTGAGCTGAGGATACCCTTGATCACTGCTACTCTTCTTGTGTGGTCCCACCCAGTGCACTAATACGACAAAGAAAGTAAAGGGAAAGTATAGAAAAGGAAGAAACAACTCATTTTCACGGATTGTGATTTTCCACTTACAAAATACAAAAGCATTAATAGGTGCTGGATTTAAGATCAACATACAAAAATCAAATTCCATTTCAGTACACTGATGACATGCAAAATGTAAATCAAGAAAAAACTACCATTTATAATAGTAACAAGAAAAAATACCTCCAAAAGTAAGTAGGAGTTAAATCTATCAAAAATGTTCATGACCTTAGTGTGAGAAAATTATTAAACTTCACTGAAAGGTGTTAAAGCCTAAATAAATGGAGACCTATACTATTATTGGTGGATAGGAAGACTTGATATTATAATCCTTCTCAACAAATGTATTTATAAAGTTCTTGTCCAGATCGCAGCTATTTTTTAACAGAACCTACGTTGACTCTGAAATCTGATGCGACACGGGGGAGACCCCCCCCCCACCAGATGCCACAATGTAGTGACAGAGCAATGGCAATGAAGCCAGCGCCGTATTGGCACCGTGAGACAAGACAGACCAGTGGGACAGCAGACAGACCGCTGCATGTGTGAAAACTGGTTTAGGATAGGTGCTGTTGCAGATCAGTGGGGAAATCTTTTAACTCGCCAATAAATGGTGCTGGGGCAATTATTTAAATGTGTGCAGTAGGGGCGCCTGGGTGGCTCAGTTGGTTAAGCGACTGCCTTCAGCTCAGGTCATGATCCTGGAGTCCCGGGATCGAGTCCCGCATCGGGCTCCCTGCTCAGCAGGGAGTCTGCTTCTCCCTCTGACCCTCCTCCCTCTCATGCTCTCTGTCTCTCATTCTTTCTCTCGCAAATAAATAAAATCTTTAAAAAAAAAAAAAAAAAAAAAAAAAAAAAAATAAATGTGTGCAGTAAATGATACTGGGACCCTGTTTCCCCTGCATAGGAAAGTCTATTCTAGGGGCACCTGGGTGGTTCAGTTCGTCAAGCGTCTACCTTCGGCTCAGGTCATGATTCCAGCGTCCTGGGATCGAGCCCCACGTCGGGCTCCCTGCTCAGCAGGAAGCCTGCTTCTTCCTGTCACTATCTCTATCCCTATCTGTGTCGCTCTCTCTCAAATAAATAAATAAAATCTAAAAAAAAAAAAAAAAGTCTATTCCAAGGTTACTTATCTTGGGGGCTTTGGTGCAGCAGCATGTTGGGGTACAAGAACCCAGGGCTCAGTGTCTGGCTCACTGTAAACGCTGGGCAAGTACGGTCCCTCTCAGGACCCCATTTTCTCCATCAAAAAAAAGGGCACTTTCAGCTCTGACATTATGTTACTGGATAAAAATTAGTCAAAATGGTGGTGGCATGTCTGAGGCCTGCCCCTCATCACCAGGAAAGTTAGTTCCCTGCTCCACACTCCAGGACTGGCCTCCTGTCCAAGTAGTGAAGTTAAAGCTGCTAGATGCAGGGACAAGTGGCAGATGAGACCATCTGAGTCCTAAGTTCCCTGCCGTCTTGTTTGGACATTCCGCAAAGATCCTCAGTGTGCCCTTCTAACATTATCCTTGAACAGCTGTTTAAAAGGTACCATCTTTATCCAATAGCATTTTTTGAAGCTTGGCTTTTGGTGAATAACAACGAGTTGAAGGTTGGGTAAGATTAAGCTGCATTCTCGTGGACAACAGTCATTTCTGTTGTTTCCCAGGAAGGGCAGAGGCCCCCAGGATCTCTGCCTGGCCAGGCAGCCTTATCATCTCACAATGCTGTCCCCATTCCTCTGTGAGCCAAGTCACCCTGGGCTGAGCCCTTTCCCTGGTTAGCTATCAGACCCCCAGAGAAAGCTGCATGCCTGGTCTTCAGAAAGCTCAGGACTCACAACACCGACCATCTTCACTCTCCTGACACTGTGCAGCTGAACCTTGATTCAGCCATCTTCCCTGGGGGCCTCTGCTGCAGCAAGCGCTACAAGGCGGAAGGTGAATGAGACCTAAGCTGTGCTGTTCAAGAGCCAAGCAACTATAAAAGTTACTCCCAAACAGGTGCACTGGATCCTGGGAAAACTTTTGAAAAAGGCATTTCCTGGCCCCACTTCATTCCTACTGAATTAGAATCTCTGGGCTAAGACCTGAGATTTTCTTTTATTTAAAAGCATTCTTGAATGAATCTGATGTATCCAGACCACCAGAGCACACCCGGATTTCACAGCAGGGTGTGCTCTGGGCTGCTGCAGGGACTAAAGGAGATAATGAAGGCAACATGTTCAGCACAATGTTGGGGACACTGTACGGCAGGGAATGGAAGCAGTGACGACTTGGTTAGAAATGCAGACAGTCTGGGCTGTTCTCTAATGACCGACTAATCACATGTTGCTGCTTCCTAAACTGGGAATCAGCAGTGAATAACTAACGGTGCCCTAATTCCCCAAGTATGGCTGTTACAGCTCCCTCTTCTGAGCCTACTGCCTCCTATTGCGAAAGAATTGGTTTGAAACCAAAACATACAATCTAACAAGATAGGACAAATGCCCGCTGTTGATTATAAAAGCCAATTACTTAGATTTATAGCAGACATGGATTGAGTTGCATGTGAGAAAGACCTGTGGGCTTTGGGTTAGTCCATAATAAGCTCAACCTATACCAACTGCAAACTGCATTAAAAGTGGTCATAGGCTAGAGCAAAAGAAATAATGGCAAGAGGTAGGGTGAGAGCAGCACCCTCCTCCCCATCGGTCAGTCCATGCTGTGGGGTTGTTTCATTGGTGCTCTGCACTTTAATGCAATTACAAACAAAACTCACTAGGCCTGGAGATGATTCCTGTGGGGTACACTGTGAGAACAGGAGAGGTTTATCCAGGAGAAAACATGAGGAAGCGTAAGGTGGGGCGGGGTGGGCAGACATGATCAGTCTTTATAGAGCTGAAGAATTCCCATACAGGAAAGGGCAAAGCCAGTTATACTCCATAGGGACAAACTAGCACCAAGTGTAGAGTTTCTGAAGCAGCCTCTTTTCTTCAAGAAGAAAAGATTATAAGGATTCAGACCTCACATGTGACTTAGACCAGATTTATCACATCAGAATTCCGGTTCTGATACATCCAGGCAGGAATTACTGGTCTAGACAATCCAAGGAATTTTACAACCTTAAGAATCACTACTACTACAGACAAATATAGGGAGTTGAACTGTCAAAGACTAATCAGTGAGAAAACCAGAAACTTTTTTCTCCCTTTTGAAATATCCTAATAACAATGTTTTAACAATAACTAAAGAGGGAAATGAATTTGCAATCAATTCAATGAGCTAGCTTGTCTGGAAGACCTGGGCTCTCGCCAGATTGGTGCCACTCTTCCTACTCACCTAGCATTAATATGGAGAGGCCGCTTCAGTACATTCTACGTATTTAACTGTAAGCACTATTGTTCACTCTCTCTGCCCAACTCCAGAACCTCTAAGCAACAGTCCCCATCCT